GTAAATAATGCATTTCTAGAAATTTATCCATTTCTTCTAGGTATTCAAAATTGCTCTAATACACTTTTCTAAAATATTGTGTGATTTTTAAAAATCTCATTTGGTTCTGTTATAATATCATCCATTTAATTCGAGTTTGTAATTTTTCTTTTGTTAGGTTTGCCAGTGTCTTATCCATTTTGTTAATATTTTCAAAGAACCAACTTCTTGTCTTATTAATTTTTTCTAAAGCCTGTCTGGTATCTTGTTTTCTGATGGTCAGACCAGTTGTGGCTGCCTTAGCTAGTTCTCTACCTCAGGTGGCAAGGCTCACTTCCTGCGAGACATCCCTGAGGAGAAGCCACATGGACCTACTCCGATGCAGCCCTGCATGCTGGAGCAGCCGTGTGGAGACCCCTGCCAGCGCTGAGGTGTTTACAAGCTCACTAATTTGGCTTTCCTCCTGCAGTCAGCATCATTGTGTGTGCTTTGTGAGTTTGAGGAGGACTTTGTAGATCAATGTTGGACATATGGGCTAATGTCAGACTTATGAGCTTGGACAGGACTGGGTTGGGATGCTTAATGTACAATTACCTTCTATATAAAACTATTTCTTATAAAATATGAGTGTTTATGAATTTTGTTTCTCTAGTCTACTTAGACTGACACAGGTGTTTAGAATTTTGAACCAAAGTCAAATGATGTCCAGATCCGTGACTTTGTGATAGTAGTCATCTGATTCTCCTCAGACTCCTCAGAGTTTCAGCCCTTTTTCCAAGGGAGTATTTCAGATCCTTTAGTGTGCTACAGGCATGTTTAATGTGAAGTCTAATTTTCTTAGTAGGGTTTACAAATTGGATCCTCTAGTGATGTCTATGAATGATGTTGGGCACCTTGAAGGACAGTCTACAGTTCCCTGTGCCTGTAGGATGCAGTCTGGATCACCACGGACTGGATAGAAACTGGTTTAAAAGTGCCCAAATAGGAACATAATACAAGACAGTCTCCCACTGGGGGTCTGTATCAGTAAAGTTAAATGATTTTTCCCACTTGCAGATTGCTCCATTTGGTTTACCCATCACCAGAAGTGTGTGTGTGTGTGTGTGTGTGTGTGTTTGTTCATGTGGATGGTTTCTTTATTACAGTTATATATCTGTATGGATCTCATTTGTTTACAGATTTTAAATCACTTACTTTATTGCTATTTGTGATAGTTAGGGTTTATATCAACTTGGAATGGCCTGGATTCTCTGTGGTTTGGCCATAAGCCCTCCCCCATAAGGTCACAACTTGATGACATCTCCTTGCGGGTGTGACCTACTCTCTAATATTTCTAAAGGAGATGATGGGGAGAATCGTTTTTGTCTCTCCTTCTTGCTGGCGTGGATCCTGCATCTGGTTTCTTGATGTGTACCACCAGCCTGCAATTTTGCCTACCAATCATGGGAGTTATCAGTGACCTGCCATGACATCTGATCCATCATGCCAAATCATATCTGCCTCCACAAGCCTCTAATCTTCTGGCTTCCCAGCTTTTGAGCCCCCAATGAATCAGAGAAAGCCACCAGTGTAATATCTGATAACCAAACTATTCTTAACAGTGTGAACCATTTTTCTTGATATAAATTTTGCTTTTATATGTATTACTGGTTTTACTTCCCTAGAAAATCAAGCCTACAACACTGTTGCTTTAGTGTTTACTGAAAAACTTTATCATTTTCTGCTTTTATTTTGGTGAGAATATTTTTAGTTATTTTGAAGTTCAAAGACAGCTTATTATTATATTTTGAAGTTTAAAACCATTGCTGCTGTCTTGATACTGTCTTTTCCATGTATTCCCATTCTTGCTATTTAGTTTTCATAATTTATAAATGGATGACTCTATTTTTAGTGTTGTAGGTTCATTTTAATACTCTTTAAAGCTTATGGTTAATACTTCTATACATGGGTAAACATCTGGGTGATGTTTCAATGTTGTTTATTGTCTGTCTCTGGAAGTTCTCTGTCCAAAGGGCTCCCTTTAATATTTTTTTTTTGGTAAAATTAGTCTGTTTTTTGAAAATCCCCTTAATTTCTATTTATTTGTGATTTCCATCATAATTGTGGCATCATTTTATTGGTTATTTTTCTTTCAGGATTTTATAAATGACAACTCATTTCTTTCTTACCTGTTTGAATTCTGCCAAGAAATTAGAATTTTATTTGATTGATTCTCCTTTTAAGTAAGTTTTTGTTTTACTGAGCTGTTTTCAGGATTATTTCTTATTTAGCTCTGGAAAGTTTGACCATGGTGTGTCTTGGTGTCTTTCTTTTGAGGCCTATCATCTTTAGAGTTTTCAGAGCTTTGTGAGTAAATATATTTGCATCTTCAATGATAATAGGGAACTTTTCTTCCAACAAATGTTTTCTGTGTTTCATTTATTTATTTCTCTTCCCATTCTGTAATTCCAGTCACATGTAAGTTATTCCTCTTGATGATATACCACATGATTTTTAGACTATTTTTCCTTTTTTTTATTGCTACTTAAAAAAATACTATGGTATTTTTCTTCAATTTCACAGTTCTTTCTCCCACTGATGAAGTCTAGTAGCTTGATCTTCCCCTGTCCTCTCAATTTATAAATTTTTAGAATGAATCACCTGTATTTGTATTTTCAGTTTTTTAAAAGCTTCTGATAGTTCATCAATTTTTGTCAGCTGATTCATACACTGGTTTCCTGGATTCTTCTAGATTATTGACTGTGTTTTTTGCTTGAATTTGTCTGTGCTCACCTTGAACTGTTCTTAGAGTTCAGAAAGGTCCTAAGTATACATATTTTCAATCTCTTATAGGGTAGGGCCAATATAATTTCTTCCTCTGAAGAAATATCATCATTTGTTAACTTACCTTGTCTCAATTATATTGTGGCATTATTTTATTAATATGTAGACTTCATGTTGGTGTACTTCAACTGGGTGTGCTATTTTGGTTCCTATTTTGGAAGTATCAAGACACTCACCACCTGTCACTGGGTAGACTTTGTAGAGGGTGGGGGTGGGGCATAAGTCTCTGATTGCTCTGGTAATACAGAAGAGCTGAGTGCAGGCTATGTAGATGTTGGTAGTCCTATGCCATCAATCCAGTGGTGCATGAATAGGTGGTGGCACCGATCCACTGTGTGGGACCCTAAGTATGGCTCAGTAGAGTCCCTGACTCCTGACTGCTCAGGAAATATAGAAAAGAGAATGAGAACATAGGGGAAAAGAAAACAAAAATAAACAAACCCTAAGAACAAGAGGATTAACAAAAAGGGTGGGAAGAGTAAAGACCTAAGAAGAAATTTCAAAAGGGAAAAGGAAAAAGAAAATAGTGACAGAGCCATGACTTAAGAAATAGCTGCAAAATATGGCTACCCTGGGAATGTAGCACCACTGAATACAGAGGGTCAGGAGTGGGCACTACCGAATGAGGAGTGTTGCGGCAGAGCACCAGCTATGAGGGATTCAAAATTTTAAAGGTTGGTGGAAGGGAAGAGGAGGAAAAGAAAAACAAAAAAGGTAAAAAGAACAAAGTGATGGGGAGGGAAGAACTAAGAAGAAATGAAACAAGTGAACAGTGGCCCAGTGCTGATATAAACGTTAGCCTTAAAAAACTGCTGCGGGGAGAATAGAGACTTGCTGTCCCTTGGAACGCCAACTACTATACAGGAGGAGAAGAGTGAACAGTGAGTGCTGTGAGCAGTGAGTGCTGACGGCTGCATAGGTTGTGATGGGGCAACACCTAATCCATGGGCAAAAAATAAAATGATGAGTAAAGGAAGGGGAAAAAAGAGAAAACAAGGATGTGGGGCAATTAATAAGAAATATTAAAAATTAGGGGACAAGTAGCAAAGTACTGGTAGTGTTGTATGGGGTTGACTTGGTGGGTTGGGGACATAGTTAAGGTTATCAAGAGATTGTGCAGAATAAGGATGAGACTACAGATGTCTGGTCATTTATACTAATGTAATTCTGGAGGAGTAGAGACGTTTATCTGGTTGCTCAGGTTGACAGTTCCCCTACCCCCGTGTCTCCATGACCAGTTTCCCCTCAGTTTCGTCTTCTCATTGCTCTATGTCTTTATTTTGTTTCCTTTGAAGCTCCAGGATCTTGGTTACTTTTTTATTTTTTATTTTTAGGGGGTATAGGTAGTGTATCTCCTGGTCTATCATCTTGGATTCCACTTTTCTCTTTATCTCTCTCTCTTTTTCCATCCACCATATTTGAATTTCAAACCAAATCAATTCTTGTCATTGAAGGCTATCACCTCCCCAGGAATGATTGGTAGCCATCAATACCAACAATGTTTTGGTTCTGTCAGAATCCATGAAAAATTGCATGTCACCCCCTCTTGATGTTGTGTGTAGTCGTGGGATATTATTGGAATAAAGTAGGCATTATTTGAAATGTGACTGAAAGAAATATCAGCCATTTCATAGTAGAAGCGGTTAAAATTTAGCAAATACTTCCTTGAGCTTCTTTCACCTTGTCATGAAGATATTCCAGGTGACAGGTCTTCTGCTAGAATGTGGCTCAGAATGAGAATAACAAGAAAGTGGGCTCACATACTATGTGATGGTCATGTAACATTACAGTGTGACAGCTATTTGATCCTTAAACACCTGGGGCAATAGGATATTTTTTTCTTACATCAGCATAATTTAGCTCAACCAGATAATGCCATTGGCTTTTTTAGATGCTGCTGTGCTTCTGCGGCATTGTTTCTTATTGCACATCAAAACTAATGTAACTGCATTGAACACGTGTCATTTTCAGTCAATATTCCTAATATACTGTGGGCTCCACAATGATATGGCTTGTATCTATCTATCTTCCCAGCATGGCAACCAGAGAATCTGGCATATAGTACCATCTCAAGAAACACTTCTTCAGTGAGTGAATTGAAATTGTTAATCACATAGTGCATAAATACTGAAGTTATTGTGTGAAGTTAAATGTGTGTTTTCCCCATCCAACTGTGAACACACCATAAATCCACTTACAGTTATGGCAAGTGGCACCTGTGTAGCCCGTGTCACTGCAGTTACAATAGAAGGTATTCCAGGACTGGGAGCAGCTTCCTCCATGTTCACAGTAGTTTGTCAGACACCTAGTGTGAAATAATGCAGACAAAACCAATGCGACAATTAGTCAAAATAAACAGAAAATTTTAAAGTGTCTAACATTGATTTGTTATATTCCTATATCTAAGTCAGACTTGGATGCCATCAAAATATCACTACATTATTGCTCTGTAATATTGCTCTAAGAGGACGGTCCACATACACCACTACAAGGAGAAAGCCAGAGGAAATTTAGGTAATTAATTTTGGGCAATTAAAAGGACAGCATGAGAAGAAAAAGCCAAATATTATAATGAAATGTACAAAGACCTAGAATTAGAAAACCCAAAGGGAAGAATAAGCCGAACATATCTGAAACTGAAAGAACTCAAGAAAAATGTTCAAGCATCAAGTTGATCATTTAGTTGTGTTTCATTGACTATGAAAAGGCATTCAACTGTGTGGACAGCCCTGAGAAGATTGGGAATTCCAGAACACTTCATTGTGCGCCTGCAGTATCTGTAAATGGATCACGAGGCTATTGTGTGACCAGAACAAGGGAATACTGTATGATTAAAAATCAAGAAGGATGTGTATCAGGGTTAATTTAATTTGTATGCTGAGAAAATAACCAGAAAACTTATATGACTAAGATTGAAGCTTCAGGATTGGAGGAAGACTTATAAACAACCTGAAATATGCAGACGATGCAACCTTGCTTGCTGAAAGTGAGGGGGACTTGAAGCATTTGCTAATGAAGATCAAAGATTGCAACTTTCAGTATGGATAATAATTCAATGCAAAGAGACCCAAATCCAGAGAAAAGGTTGAAGTTTACAAGGAGTTCTTCTTGCTTGAATTCACAATCAATGCTCATGCAAGCATAAGTCAAGAGATCAAAGACGCAGTGTATTGGGTAAATCTGCTGCATAAAACCTCTTCAGGGAGTTGGAAAGCAAGGATACTACTTTTAGGACTAAATTGTGCCTGCCTCAAGCCATGGGAGTTTCTATTACCTCCTAAGAATGTGAGAGTTAGGCATTGACCACTGAAGGCTGAAGAAAAATTGATGCATCTGAACGATGGTGTTGCCCAAGAATACTGAAAGTACGATGGACTACCAAGAATAAATAATACCAAAAAAATCACTCAGACCTATCTTGGTAGAAGTACAAGAACGCTCCTTAAAGACAAAGATGGTGAGACTTAATCTCACATACTTAGGGCATGTTGTTAGGAGAGGCGAGTCCCTGAAGAAGAACATTATTCTTGGTAAAGTATAGGGGCAGCAGAAAAGAGGAGGACCCTAGACAAGATGCATTGACCCAGTGGCTGCAAACAATAGGATCATAAAAATAATTGTGAGGTCTTCACAGGACCAAGCAATGTCCCATTATGTTTTACATAAGGTCACTATAATTCAGAGCAGGCTCAATGATATCTAACAATAGATCTTTGATTCATTGGGATTTATTTTTGTTGTATGGGATAAGTTATATGGTCTATTTCATTCTTCTGCAGAATAAGATCTTATTTTGCTGGAGAATTTATAAAGAAACTATATCCCATTATATATCTTTAGGCACTTGTTGAAGATCAATTCCCTATAGGGAGATACATTTATTTCTGGGTTCCTTTCTATCTATGAACATGGAATATTCTTCCAATTATTTGGTTTCTTGTAGTAGTGTTTTGTAGTTGTCTTTGTACAAGTCTTTTGTTTCTTTTAGGTTTATTACTGAAAATTTCATACTTCCTGTGTCAGTTGTAAATGGATTTGTTTTCTAGATTTTTACAAATCTTTTCTCCTTAGGATACAAAAACCTAATAGATTTTTGCATTTTAATTTTGTATCTTCTCATGTTACTCAAGCTTTCAATTGTCCCCAACAATTTTCATGTCGAATTATTGTTTGTTTGTTTGCTTGTTTACCTAGAAAATCATATCATCCACAAATAGTTTCACTTATTCTCTACCCATTTGGATTTCCTCAATTTCTCTTTGTTTTATAATAACTTTAGATAAGACTTCTAGCCCAATTTTGACTGAGAGTGATTACAAGACACATCCTTGTCTGGTTTCCATTCACAGGGAGAATCCTTTGTTTCTCCCCATTGAGAAGTTTGTTAGCCAGTAGTTTTGCATCTATGGTCTAATGTTGAGAAATGCTCCTTCTATTCCCATTTTAACAGCAGAGTGTTGTCACAGGTTGTGCCAGGATGAGCCCTCAAGTAAGAAGGCACTCAAAATATGACTGAGGATGAGCTGCCTTCTCGGAGTCATGAATATGACATGGATGCAGCAAAGTCTTGCAGACCTTCCTTTGCTGATGGGGCATGACTCATCATGGCTCAGAGAATCACCTTTTTGACTTGCTGATTTTGCTTATTGATTTTCTGTTTCTTGATATACTTATTTCTGTTTCAATCTTTAAAATTTTTCTCCTCATGGTTGAAGGTTTATTTTGTTGATTTGTTCTAGTTTTTTTTAAAAAAAATTATTGGGGGCTCATACAATTGTCATCACAATCCATACATACATCCATTGTGTCAAGCACATATGTACATTTGTTGCTCTCATCATTCTCAAAACATTTGCCTCCCACTCTAGCCCCTAATATCAGTTACTCATTTTCCCCCTTCCTCCCCTCTCCCACCTCCCTCATGAACCTTTCATAGTTCATAAATTATTATAGTTTTGACATAAGTTACCCTGTCCGATATTTCCCTCTGCCCTCTTCCCTGCTGTCCAACCCCCAGGGAGAAGGCAATACTTAGATTCTTGTAATTGGTTCCCTCTTTCTACCCCACATTCCTTTCACCCTCCAGCCATCACCCCTCTCTCATCACTGGTCCTGAAGGAGTCATGTATACTGGATTCCCTGTGTTTCCATTTGCTATCTGTACCAATGTACATCCTCCGGTACAGCCAGATTTGTAAGGTAGAATTGGGATCATGATAGTGAGGGGGGAGGAAGCATTAAAGAACTAGAGGAAAGTTATATGTTTCATCATTGCTACCCTGCACCCTGATTGGCCTGTCTCCT